CTTCTTCCATTAGTCACCACATCCTGCCCACTCTTTCTCCACAAGGACCTCAGACCCACCCCTTCCTCTGCCCTGGGTCCACTGGTCTTCATCTGACAAGTCTTCCCCTAGACATAGACACCACCCCTCCCGACTCACCCCTGCCACCTCACGGCCCAATGTTAAGCTGGAAGGGAAGTCTGAGGTCATCAAATCCAATCTTCACTCTCTGCTTAAATTGCCTCTAGCAATGGGGTGCTCACTACCTATGTATCAGAGGACAGCTTCAGCTGTTGGAGACTCTAACCTTTACTGAACCAAAGCCCACTTCCCTGCCAGGGCCCTTGGGAGCCCTGCAGAAAAATTCACCCGCGCTCCTTTCCTCCTGACAGTTTGTTAGAAATGGTAGGCTCTGAGGACAGACAGACCTGGTTGAGACAGACCCAGGCAAGTTATTTTCCCTCTCTGTTTCTCAGTGTCCTGTCTCTGTGATGGAGATGGTGTGTCCTTGCTGCGCAGGGTGGGGGTGAGGGCTAGATGAGGTCCCCGTGGAGAAGCACTGAAGCAGGGCCTGGCACACAGTAGGTGCTGAGAACACAGTGGCTGCTAGAACTGATACCTTTAAGGATGATGCCCTGAGGGTCCCATCTCCAGGACAAACACCCCAAGTCTTCCATCCCCTCAAATGTGGTTCCCTAGGCCAGCGTCAGCCCTTCTCTGTGTCCCCTTGTGACCTGAGGTGCCCTGTACAGACTTCCATCAGAATGCCCAGATCAAGGGGACTCTGCCCTGTGGTTAACTTGCAGGAGGGTGGGGACACCCACCAGGTCATCACCTGGCCCTTTGGGAGGGAGGGAGCAAACACTTCCTCTGAGTCCCCAACAGGACACCTGCCCTGGGGACAGGATAGCTGTGCAGTAAACATCCATCTGGCTGGGTGGGGTTGGTGAGGTCTAGGATGGAACCTAAGGTGGTCTCAGATCTCAGGGAGAGAAAAGAGGGCATGCTGGGAGCCTAGGGGTTTCTCTCCCCCTGCACACACAATACACACATGATCACAGCTAGCATCCTCTTGAACACCACACCAAGCCACGCTCTCTGCTAAGCACTCCACAGGTGGGCCCTCTTTTAATTCTTGTCACAACTCTAGAAGCCTCAGCTTCCAGATGAGGAAACTGAGGCTCAGAGGTAGACTGACTTTCCCAGGGTCATGCAGTTGGAAAGGGGTAGGCTGTGACCCTGCAGTTCCCAGGTGTGGGTTACTCCATACATCTTTTAAAAATATATTCATTTATTTATTTGGCTGTGACAGGTCTTGATTGCAACACACAGGATCTTCAATCTTCACTGCAGCATGTGGGACTTTAGCTGTGGCAAGCAAACTCTTAGTTGTGGCATGTGGGATCTAGTTCCCTGACCAGGGATGGAACTTGGGATCCCTGCATTGGGAGCGCAGAATCTGAGCCACTGAACCACCAGGAAGGTCCCCTACTCTACACATCTTCCTCTTGAAGAAGTGTAGGGACACCACTTCCCTCCATGGTCGCTAAGACAGGTAGTTCAGACACCTCACCTGGACCTCAGGATGCTCCCTGTTCAGTTTTGCCTACCTTTCCCCGTCCCCTGAGCCCTGCTCACTCCTTCCATTCCCAATATCCGTCCCCACCCCAACTCAGCTTTCTTCCATCTTAATAAGCCCTCATTTCTCTGGACACCAGCAGCCACCTCCAGGAAGCCCATGCTGGTTATCTCCATTCCCCCAGAGTGAACTCCAGGAACAGGAGGGAGGAGTAGGGTGGCTGATGCATTTCAAAAGCCCCAGCAGCCAGAAGAAGCTCAAATAAAACCTCAAGGGTCGGGAAGTCTGTGGCAGTCCAGTGGTTAAGGCTCCATGCTTCCAAAGCAGGGTGAACCAGTTCAATCCCTGGTTGGGGGACTAAGGTCCTGCATGCCAGACCCCAAAATAAATAAAAACAAAGATGTAACCAAACCGAAAAAACAAACAAAAATTCTCGGACTTCCCTGGTGGCACACTGGCTAAGAATCCGCCTGCCAATGTAGGGGACACAAGTTCAATCCCTGCTCCGGGAAAAGTCCACATGTGGAGGAGCAACTAAGCCTGTGCAAATAACTACTGAGCCGGTGTGCTACAACTACTGAAGCCTGTGAGCCCTAGAACCCATGCTCTGCAACGAGAGAAGCCACTGCAATGAGAAGCCCATGCACCACAACAAAGAGTAGGCCCCCGCTCTCCGCAACTAGAGAAAGCCTGTACAAAGCAATGAAGACCCAGTGCAGCCAAAAAACAAATACACACAGAAAAAAACCCTCAAGGGTGGGCCCGGAAGTAGAAGGGTCCAGCCCGGTTGAAAGATGGCCCTTCCCCAGGGCATCCTGGGGGGGCCAGTCTGACAAACCAAAGTCCTCACTTCCATCCTCCTCCCTAGGGGCCTGGGATCAGCTCCAGGAGAGCAGGACCTTTGTTCCCCGGGAAATCTCCAGGTCTAGAACAGGGCCTGGCACGCCAGGTGCTTCAGGCTGATTTGGTGAATGAATGAATGATGTCATCTCCTTCAAAACGCTAGTCACATCCTGCTAGCGGTCCCTAGAATGGCTGGGGAGGACAGTGAGAATGAGGATCTCCATCTCATTCCAGACTTTGCTTGGCCAGTCATGCTGTGTGACGTGGGCTAGTTCTTTCGTCTCTCTGAGCCTCAGTTTCCTTATGTTTCACACAGGAATGATAATAACGCTTTTCTTCTAAGGTTCTCACAAAAGTTCAGTGAAACAAGCATGAAGGTCTGACAACCTGCCTGGCACGTAAACATGTTTGGTCACTGGTGGTTCTTATTATCATCAACAATAGGATATTCTTTGCTCCTCTCTCTCACCAACCTGGGTGTCATTCACCTCCTCTGACCTTGTGCTCCAGCCTGCTCCTACCCTTGGCAAGACCTGCTTCTTGCTCCTTGTTTTCTGCCTCTGCACTTCTGCCTGTGGCAGTTCCCCCTTTCTGGACTGCCCTTGGCTTCTGCTCTGCCTGTCCATGTTTTTGGGCTTAGTGATAAAGAACTCGCCTATCAGTGCAGGAGACATAACAGACACGGGTTCGATCCCTGGGTCAGGAAGATTCTCTGAAGGAGGAAATGGCAACCCACTCCAGTATTCTTGCCGGGAGATCCCCATGGACTCCTGGGGATCAGGAGCCTGGCGGGCTACAGTCCATGGGGTCACAATGAGTTGGACACGACTGAAGCAACTTAGCATGCAGGCACGTCCACATTTTCACTCCCATCAGAGGCCACCTCCTCCAAGATATCCTCCCTGACTAGACCTTCTGCCTTTGATTTCTCAGGCATCCTTGTGGCCCAAGTCTGTATCACCTGTCCCAAAGCAGGTGCCACCAGCAATAGAACTAGGGCTCTCCCCCTGCAGGCTGGGTGATGGTCTGCTGCTGATGCCAACATCAGCCATGTTGAGTTGCAGGCAGCCCACGGCTGGGCTGGAGTTGAGACCTGGAGGCTGCAGAAGGACCTCAGGCACTCTGACACCAACTCTCATCTCATAGGCCTCACCCCTGCCCCTTCCTATGGCAGCTTGTGGGCCTGCCTTGGGTGCAGCTGCCCACAAAAGAGGCTGGGTCAGTGTGGCCTGCCCCCTTTGCCACCCCTCTGGGTCAGGCAGAGGCCCCAAGGCTTCACAGGCCTCTGGCAGGATGTAACTGAGGGTAACTGGGGCCAGTTTGTTGCCAGGAGCCCCCATATGGGGGAGAGGCAGCCAGCCAACACCAGAGCCCTGATGCCAGGCACCATCCGTGCCAGCAGATTGCATCTGACATCACAGCCGCCCCCTTGCCGGTGACCACGGCAACTGGAAGCCTCCTCCTCCTCTCCCCACCCTCAGAACAGCCCTCCATGTTCCTTCCAGCCATGGTCTTCCTGTATAGAATGTAAGCGGCTGTGTCCGGGTGGAAGGGTGTAACAGGGCGGCATCTTTAATCTCCTGCAGCTGCAGAGCTGAGCTGCACAGTGGCTAGGAACAGGGCTCTGACACCACACAGATCTGGGATCTGGGTTTGAATCTCAGCTCTCCCATATCCTAGAGATGAGTTCTTAGGTGAGCCACTACCTCTCCACTGTAAATGAGAATAGTGACGGGACAGTTGTCAGAAGGCCAGAGGGAGGAGACAAAGAGTCCTCAGGGCTCGGGGTGACACAGTAAGTTGTGGCAGTTAGCTCTACTGTCCCTCAAATGCGTGCGGGGAGGGGCCCAACCTGGGTTCCAGCCCTGGCTCAGTCTCTCCTGAGCTGTGGGGCCTTGGCCAAGTCACAGGACCTCTCTGAACCTTGGTATCTTCATCTGGAAAACAGGGCAACAGCCCACACCTTCCCAGCAGAGCTGCCACAAACAGCACATGAGGCACAGGGCCCAGCACAGACCAGGCAGAGGCCCCCCCATCATTTTTATCTGTATTCCTCTTATTTTGTCCACTGCTAGCTCCCAAGTCCTGACACTCCAGGACCACTGGGCCCCCTCTTCCCTTCCTCATCCCCAGGCCTGCAGTCACTGTCACAAAGTCCCATAGTGTCCCTGACCCATGCCCAGGCCTGAAGAGTGGCCTGGTGGCCCAGGAAGAGTACCCATGGGGCACTGGAATGGAACCTTGGTTGCAGGGTGGGGGGTGTCCCTGCTTGCTGATTCTCAGCTTCCTCATCAGTGACACTGAGCAGCAGTGCCTGTCACCTCAGGGCTCTAAGGACCACAGGGCAAGAAAGGGCTTTGAGGCACCCCCACTCTGGCTGCCCTCATAGAAGTCCCCCCACCTCTGCTCTTTCTGAACTAAGGTCAGCCCCTCTGCCTCCTAAACCAGCCATCCTGCAGCCCTGCCCACCCCTGAACCCAGGCCACACTGTGGCCAGGCCAGCTGCACCCTTGCCAGGGCCCCATGGATTTCCGGGCCTGGATAGAGCGGGTGGTTAACAACCTGCTCCAGGGGCCCCCAGGCCCGCCAGCCTCCCTACCTTAGCAGCCCGGCCCTTGTCCATGCAGTCAGGGTTCTGACAACGCAGTCCCTTCTCTTCTTCCAGGCTCCGGTCTTCTGCAAAGGAGAGAAGAGGAGGGTTACTAATTGGGCGGGGCCCAGGGAGGGTGCGCCCTAGGCAGGGGCACCCTGGCTCCCCCAGGCCCCAGGAGCCTCCCGATCGGAGGACGGGGTGGGGCGGTCTCCTCAATGCACCCTTCAAAGGAGGGCAGTGTCCCTTTCTCTTTTAAATGCCAACTTATCTGCACAGGAATCTGTGTGCAGAGCCCTTTTCTTGTTGCAGCTCCCTAGGGAAATTATCCAGATTCCAGGGGGAGAAAACATCTTTGGAAATGAGCAGCTCCCTCTCTCTGTCCCACTGGTGGGGGGTGGGAAGGGGAGGGGGGGTGGCTCAGTGACCTTGGGGCCTCAGGGTTCCTGGGGGATTCCTGCAAGACAGTGAGGGGAAGGGGGACTCCAGGGGTCCAAGGTCCCTTCCTACTCCTGTCCTCCACATCCCAGCCTCTATGGATGGTCTCCCCCGCAAGAACCTGGGGTGGTCCCCTCACCCGCTGTCCATCTTTGACCCAGAACTTGGCCCCCTCCAAGCTGCCCCTCTTCCTGGGGTGCAGCAGCGGAGGGGACAGGGAAGGGGGGCAAAGAGGCTGCTCGCCCCGGCCAGCTTGCAGGGCCAGGGGAAGGGGTGACGAAGCGTGTCCCGACATGGGGACATAGTTTGGACCCCCACAGCCCTGATTCTGAGACCGGTGTCTACCTCCCACCTCGAGCAGGCCTTCCCCAAAGGAGGGGGCGGGCTGAGCCCCCGCCTGCCGAGGGGAAGGAGCCGGTCCTGCCCTGCCCTTGATCTCCCCTACCCCCACCAACTCCCCGGCCGCCCCGCGTTGCCCCTCGCCAACGCCCCTCCCCGAGCCGGCGCGGAGGCGGCCAGGCCAGCCGGCCTGCATGGCGGGGCCCGGCCGGGCCGGGGGCCCCGCACTCACCCATAGAGGAGGCGTGGGGCGGCCGGGAACGCAGGAGGGGCTGGGGCCGCTGCGGGTGGGCGCGGGGGGCGAGCGCGACGGAGGCGGGGGGGTGCGGGCGCCGGCCGGGTGCCTCGGGAGAGGCCGGAGCGCTGAGGCCGAGGGACCCTCGGCGGTGAGAGGCGGGGCGGGGCAGGTGGGCGGTGGGAGGAGCGGAGTGGCGGCCCCGCCTACGGGGCGGGACTCTGCGCCCCACCCCCCGCGCCCCTCCGCCGGGCGCCCCGCTGGGCAGAACCTGCACCCGGCGGCGCGGGGTATCAGCAGACAGGACGCGGCGCACCCTCCCCCTCTCTCTGAAAAGTCGTGGGTGTGACTAAAAGCCATCCCTTCGCCCCCCAAGTCGCTCAGCCTCCCAGCCACCTCAAAACACCTCTGTTTTTGATGTGATTGGGAGACATTTTCTCAATCTCCTGGAAAGTGGGAATGAAGGCATTTTAGACAGCTCTGCTATTTCTCCTTGTCCAAAAGGTACCATCTCAGTGGAAATGATGCCTTCTTGTAGATAGGCACGCAGGTCAGGACAGCTCCTGGTTTCCTTTGCCACCCACCCCCAGCAGAGGCCTCTCTTCTCATTTAGAGATGCTGTCAGGGATGGGGGTAAGGGTTCCATAAGTGGAGGGGACCTGGAGACTACTGTTGTTTTATTACTATGATCTTGGTGTTGTTTAGCATTTTAAAAACTTTATGAAAGTGTAAAATAAATAGGTATAGAAAAGTGCAGCTCTCATGAGTACACAGCTCAGTAAAATTTTCACAAAAATGTATTCATGCAAAATAACTAGTACCCAGGTTAAGAAGTACAGCATCACCAACCCCTCTGTGGAAGTCTCCCTCGTGGGGGCTGTAAGCTTCTCCCCTCTGAGGGGATGCTGTCCTGAACTCTCTTTCGATTAGTTTTGCCTGATCTTGTAGTTTATGTAAATAGCATCACGAGATACTTGGACAGCATCTTAATGGTTCCAAAACACTTTAAACTACAGAAATGGAGCCCTGGGAAGGTGGTGAAGCCTCTCCCAAGAGACTCAGTGTGCTCCCAAGCCTGCCCAGACCCTATCGCACCTGGAGGTAGGTGCTGGGGGACCCTGGGTAGATGAGCCCCAGGTATGGAAGCTCCCCCTGGGGCCTGGATCTCTCTTCCAAAGGCTACCCTGGTCCCTTCCCCAACCGGAGTAGGGTGCCTGCCTTTCTACATGTATCACCCCCTTTCATGGGCTGGCCCTTGGGGACTCACGGGTGACCAGGACCCAGTCCCTTCCTTCGCAGACTCTTGGAGGAGGGCACAGTGACGGATCTCAGGTCTTCTGGGTTCTCTGGATTCACTCAGCAAACACACAGTAAGTCCTTGGAGGGCCTACCTTGTTTGTGTCTAGCCCCAAGCTGGGCCCTGGGGACTCATTGGTGACCCTGTCAAGCCTCAAGGAGCTCATGTGGGGCCCAGTGGGCAGCAAGGCCCTTTGGAAAGCAGCATAGGGGGGTGTCGAGAGGAGGAGGCTGTGTGCAAGAAAACTGCACAAGGGGCTCCATCAGTGTCCTGAAGCTTCCAGGGTGAGAGGGAAGCGACGGCACAGTGTCCCCCAGTCTGCTCTTGGTGAGTGTGAGCCTGGGGTTCTGAGAAGGGACCCCGCTAACTCGCAGCACTCTCAGGCCAGCCCCGCCTCACTCAGTTCACAGAATCACAGTTCTCATATCCCTCTAGGAACCTCTGCTTCCTCAGCTGTCTGAAGGGCCAAGGACGCCTGCCCTGACTCTAGCTTGGGGGCAAAGATAGCTGAGGTAGGAGACAGCCCTTGGAGGACCCTGATGGCCCTGTCCCAGCCCTGCCTGCCAGAACGTAGCTGGCTTGAGGGTGGGGTGGAAAGCATGGTCCTTCTCCACCACCCAGCAGCATCCCCTCTGTCACTTGGGCTTGCAGGGACCTGGAGACCTCAGCCAGCTCTGGGGGAGTTTCCCATGCACCCTCCTCAGTCTGGGGAACTCAGCCAGATGAGATCTGCTTGTGTATCTGAGTCCCTGGGTTCTCACAGCTCAGGGCTGGGGTTGGGTTCTAACATCCTTTGTCCCGAGACTTCTGGATTCTGGCCCTAAACTCTGCAGGCTCTGGGCTACTTCCTCCCCCACAGGGGCCTAGAGCTGCCTTGCCAGCTCTCTGGGTCCTGCCATGACCGCTCTAGGCACTGCAGGGCCAGATTGCTCTCGACTGCCATGTGGTGCTTGTGGTCCTAGAGTTCTTTGTCCCGGTTCTTCCAGACACTGGGGTTCTACTTGGCTGATCTCTCTGGCCTACAACACCCCCCATCTGGTTTCGGCCCCCTCAAGGTGCTCAATCTGCTTTCTAGACCCTCCCCCCCACCGCACCTCATGAACTGCTTGGTCCCAGCCCTCTGGAATCTAATTTCCCTGCACTTCACACTAAAGCTACAACCTCCTAGGGTCCATGAATGCTTCTCTCCCCAGAAACTCCAACCACAGGAAAACCGATGAGGACCCTGATAGCTCTCAGGGCCCAGATAGGGGCCCCTAGGAGCTGGGGAGGAATCAGGCACTGAGACAGATTGTCCCCCACCTCCAGGACTGCCATGGGCTCCCCCTCAAGCCTGTTGCCCCAGTTACAACCCTGCAGAAAGAGTGCCCAGTAAGGGGGAGACGTTGTCCCAGGTGGCACATATTCTGGACATAGTTGACTGGGACAGAGACGCCACCTGGTCCAGCCTGTTCAATTCAATCTACTCTCTTGAGAATTTGAATTGAGATGGGCAACTGCTAGTGGTCCTGCAGCCCTGAGATCATGGAGAGTCTGAGTGGGCAGAGAGCCCCATAGTCAATGGGGAGTAAGACCAAGGGGACCCATAGGAGCAACTGGTCAGTGGAGACAGCCCTAGAGCTGAGAGGCAGGGAGAAAGTGGCCCTGTGACTGTGGGGCAACTCCCGGGGGCCACCTCCACCTCCTGCTCTTGCTCCCCACAGGGTCCCCACCGCGGGGAGTACCACTCTGACTTGAGTCAGCCTGTGCGGGTGAACGGCTGCGGGCCCTTAGCCATCACTAGGCAGACCTGGAACTTAGAACTTGCCGCCCACCCCAAGGTGCCAGAGTCTGTCTTTCTCGGTCTGAAACAGCCCAGCTGCCCTTCTGGCCTCCGTGGGCTCTGCGGCTCCCCAGCCTCCTCAGGAAAGTCAGGGCCCCTCCGCCAGGCAGACCAGCCCACACGCCAGCATCCCCCACCCTCTATCTTAGTCACACGATGCCGTTTTCCCTTCTCCTCCAACACGGTCTCCACCACAACTGGCCGACAGGGCGCCTGGGCAGAAGCCGGCCGGCAGACATGTTTTGTTTGGCCGAGCACAGTGCTTCAAAAGAATTTGACTTGGTTGCCAACTTTAAAAAGTCAGATTTCACATAAAAATCCAGATTTCTGGCTTCCATGGACAAACCAGAGGAGCCTGGCAGCTCCGGACCCATATTGCTGATGGCTCCAGCGCCCCGGTCGTGTCTGCCTGAGACGGGCACACACCCTTCCACCCTCCACAGTCCCCACCACTCCCTATTGCCTCACCTCGACCCCCTCCTTCTGTTACTCACTGGGGTTCCTGGGATGGAAATGAGCTTTTGACCCTGGCCCAGCCCTTCCCGGTTCTGTTCCTCTGCCCCTGCCACATCCTTCTCATCGCAGTCTGCTGTCTACTGACACCCTGCCCACTCTTGAAGGCCCAAGTCGAATACAGAGAACATCGGAAGGCCTCTGGAGCTCAGAACATCCAAATTCCAAATGAATCACTCCCTCTTCGATCCCACTGTCCTGGGATGGGCCTTTGAATTGACTTTGGACCTGTCTTCCCCACTGGACCACTCGAGAAACACCTGCCGATAGCGATAGTTCTAACCTTCCGGGCACCCACAGGGCACTGTGTGCTTATCCCACAGGGTCTTATTTCAGAGTCAGACCCTCTGCAGCATGGTCTAACCATAAAAATCAGCCACCGGCCATGCAACTACTAAGCGTGTGCAAAGGGGCTCATCCAAACAGATGTGCTATGCATGTG